ATTTTATTCTAATTTTTCTTTTTGGTTTTTTTTCAAATTTTTATTGGTTATTTTAGAAGATTTTTCACATTTTCTCTCTTTCGATTCAGTTCTTTTTAGTTGTAAATCATTTCAATTTAAATGCATTATCATTAATTTTTTCATTTAATTTATTTACTTTGATGCCAATTGTTGATGCTTTTAGATGAGTTTTCTTTTCTTTCTTTTTGCTTTCGACTTTTACATGTGCTTTATGATCTTTCGCTCTTTGGTCAACGTTAAATCTAATTCTAATATTTAAACCGATTTTGTCTTGAAGGGAGATTGGGGAAGTAAACATCAGCCTCTTCACACGATACGAGCGACAAGAGTCAACAGTCACGTGACTTAAGGTGTGTTCACTCTAGGGAGTTACTTGAAGTGGGAACAGCGTGACAGTCATAAAGGTGAAAACACGTATACTCATAAGTAGTTAACAGAGTGGCGGTTAGCTCTGCACCGTGGGATTTTGCGCAACCATTTTCACCTCCCTCGGTCCAGCCTGCAAATTAATGCAAAAAAAATATTTAGATGTGTAAACCAATAGTTTTTTAGTTACCCAATTCAACTGCGTTATTTATTTTATTTGCCCACTTTCACTTTACTTACAAAACTTAATAATTATATCCGGTATCACTGCAAACTTCAAGCGTCCATATCTCGATAATTAAGTAATACTTCTTAATTCCTGAAAATACAAAAAACTGCCCTTGCAATGATTTAATTTGCCCAGTCGATTGCAATGACAATTCATAAATTTTTCATATGAAAAATATAAAAAACTAAAGTATGTGTACGATTCGCGCATTGTGCATGCGCAATCAAATTAGGGGTATCTCATCGGCTTTGATAATGCCACGATCATTACCTATAATAAAAAGTAACTAATCATAAAATATTTTTCTTTATTATATGTAAACGATTTTTAACTATTTCTTTCACTACAATAAAGGTCATTTTATTTGATTTAAAAATTATTACAGAAGTTTCATTGGACAGTGAAATATGAGGTTAATTAATGTTCTAATTGTATAGAATTGGAATAATTATAATTTTATAGCTACATATTTAGGCATTGGTTTCTCTGATAAAAAATACCATCCAATATGATATGAAAAATAGCGGCGTTGTCAAATATTTCCGGTACAATACAGATTTGATTTGATTGCGCCTGCGCAATACCAGAATCGTATAAATGTTATTGCTATTTAATAATTGTCACATGAAAAATTGATAAATTGTCATTGCAATCGACTGGGCAAATTAAATTATCTCAAGAGAAATTTTTTGCATTTTCAGGAATTAAGAAGTATTATTTAATTATCGAGATATTGACGCTTGAAGTTTGCAGTGATATCGGATATAATTATTAATTTTTGTAAGTAAAATGAAAGAGGACAAAGAAAATAAATATCGCAGTTGAATTGGGCAATTAAAAAACTATAGGTTTACATGTCTAAATATTTTTTTTGCATTAATTTGCAGGCTGGACCGGGGGAGGTACCATTTTCCTCTTAAGCACATCTTATTCCCCCCTGTTATATAATATACAGTGCCGGTCAGCCACTTTTACCCCCCCACGGGCAAAATCAGTCTAACTTCAAAGTTTTATATCTCTGGTAGAAATTAACGTACAGTAACTAATTAATTACGTAAATTAACGCGCGTGGGTGCGTTTGAAAGGTCTTTCGGAGAGCTTTCAAATGATATGACTCACGGTTGCCATCGATTGTTTTTTTAAATTTTGCAACAATTATACAAAATTGAAAATTCTGAAATTTTTTTATTATTTTTGACAATTAGCCAATTTTGGAAAAAAAATCGTACGAAAATTTGGAGTACACCATTTTTTAGCTATTACCAAGCCCTATCTGAATCACTCATCAAAAATTTATTTTCGTCAAATATGACGCGCGCATGGGCATTTTTTCCTGGAAGTGACAGTTTTTTTCAACATTTTTTATCTCCGTCAAATTGTAATAATCGAAAAAAATTTTATAGGAGAAAAAATGTTTGTTTTTTCACGTAGAATACTGCAATAATTTTTTTTTCGGTTTTTCGAAAAATTTTTTTTTTCGGTTTTTTTCAATTTTTTTTTTCTCACAGTCGGTACGGTCAAAAGATGAGAAACCACAAAAAAAAAATTTTTTCCACCCATTCAATAATACTACATAACAAGTATCGTAAATTACATAAAAAAAAAATCTTTTTTTTTTCGACCTTGAAAAATAATTTAAACCGAAAAAAAAATTTTTTCGAAAAACTGAAAAAAAAATTATTGCAGTATTCTTCGTGAAAAAACAAACATTTTTTCTCCTATAAATTTTTTTCGATTGTTACAATTTGACGGAGATAAAAAATGTTGAAAAAAACTGTCACTTCCAGGAAAAAATGCCCGTGCGCGCGTCATATTTGACGAAAATAAATTTTTGATGAGTGATTCAGATAGGGCTTGGTAATAGCTAAAAAATGGTGTACTCCAAATTTTCGTACGATTTTTTTTCCAAAATTGGCTAATTGTCAAAAATAATAAAAAAATTTCAGAATTTTCAATTTTGCATAATTGTTGCAAAATTTACAAAAACAATCGATGGCAACCGTGAGTCATATCATTCGAAAGCTCTCCGAAAGACCTTTCAAACGCACCCACGCGCGTCTCTGTACATTAATTTCTACCAGAGATATAAAACTTTGAAGTTAGACTGATTTTGCCCGTGGGGGGGTAAAAGTGGCTGACCGGCACTGTACATATTTATAATATATTTAATAAAAGTCATTGCATTCGATTATTACAGGACTCACTTGGTAAACAATACGAACAATTACCAGACACAAATAGAAAAATAAAAATACGTAAGTTAAATACATGTACATAGAATACAGTTATATACAATCAAATAAATAAAATAAATCATTTCTTCTATTCTTTTTAGAAACTTACAGCTGAAAAACGAACTAATAGATAGTCAGGGAACGTGAGTATGACGATGAACGGAATGAAGATAGTGATAGTAGCACAGAGGATGACGGTGACAATAATAATGAAGACGATTGATTATGGTTTTTATCATAATGCACTGCTTCAATCAGAAAATAGTTTTTGAAATATTGCAGATAAAAGATAAGTAGACTCATTAATACATTTTCGGTGTGTAGAAATCATCAAAATATATTTCGTCAGGTGGCATATTTGCATTATATCACGGTTGCGGGGACATAATTTGAGATTGGGTACAAGAAGCATATTGTTAAATATCTACAATAATAAATTTGTTATTACAGGTGTTGAATGAGGTATCTGATGCCCTGAACGAGAGGATGATCGACGTGGGAATAGGTAGCCATCAGGTGTTGTGGATGTCCTGCTTGATGTAGTCCGGCTTGTGGTTGTAGTGGAAATGAATAAGCCATTTGTTCAAGTATATATTATAATTTTTCATAATTGTAATATATAATTTTTTAATTGTAAAATATATTATTCTTTGTTAAATGAAACATTCCATTTGCGAAAAACTAAGATTGAGCGTAATTTACGTGAAATTTACCATGTGGAAAATTGGGATCATGTTGTGGAGAAGGAAATGAATTTTTTTTTTTTTCATTTCAATAAACTATAAATTAAATATCATTCACAATTATCAAAGTATTTTTAATTAGCTAAGAGGGTAGTAACTTACTGATTTCTCCTGCTGGAAATGTCAGCTCATTGTTCTCAACAGTTTCTAACTCATCTAGAGTTTTAACTTTTCTACCTTACAAAGTCGCTGAAGTTGCAATTAGAGCATTTACAGTTGGTAAAGACTAGTGGTTTTTTTAATTGCTGAAAAGCTGTTTGTAATTGTTGACTGGTTTGTACTTTTTTCATTAAATTAAATTTAATTGAGGTCCTGATTTATAATCTTCCTGTGTCCCGTTCTTTAGAGTATACTTATATACTCAATTAATGTATTACTTAATTAATCTGAAATCTATCCACTTACTAACCTAACCACTTATAATATTGATTATGTTAGTATAGTATACCAACATAATTAATTTACCACATTTTTTACAATAGCATTATATATCTATTCGACCAGCGTTTACAGCTTTTTAATAAAAATGTGTTCGCAGAATTTTTTTTGAAAATGTAAACAACACTGAAACCGGAATAGTGATGAGAATCGGATAACGCTACAAAAATTTTTGATTTCTTAAGTTTGAGTCGTGGCGTTTCTTGGTAATTTGTATGACAATGACCAATAAGTCCGTTCTGCTATTCTGATTGCTCATTCCAATCTGATCTCTCGATCTCTATAGTTAACGATGGGAATAGCCTCAACAAAATAGTAAATGGCAAAAATGTGAAAATGACCAATGACACAAATAGGGCTGTGCAACTGAAGTAAGGGCGCTCGGTTTTCTAGATAAAAAAATCTATCTTTCGTCCAGATGAAAACACAGACATTGATGAGCATATCATCATCTTTCCTTAGAATATTTTGACATGAGCTTTCAAATATAAGCTATGTATTATTTCGATTGTAAATATTTAAACAATAGTAGTTGACGTTGTTATATGTTGGTGAATAACTATATACCTCTCTATGAATGTAAGAGTGCTACTATTAAATCAATGTAAATCATGTTTCAAATTATGAGTGAGCGCAGGTTTGCACACGCGTGAGCTTGCAGTCTGTATTCAAAGCGAGTGTAACAATTCACGAATTTACTTTTGACGAAAATATTTAGATATATATAGATATCAATTTCCTTGAAGGCATAGATATCTTGATGCTACGCATAACAACGGCTATTTAAGTAATGTAGTTGAAAACATATTTTAAAATTATTCGTAATTGAAGATGCTATTTAACTAAATTAGACAACCAACAAATAAAAATTAATGAAGTTGATTATTTATTTTATTACTTAATTATAATTTTTAAACAAATGAATATTCATTTGAATTGGATATTGACTCACAATTATGGATATTCATAGTCTTATAGAAATGAATTATAAAATAGATCACTTAACGCAAAGATTTATGCAAGTCACAATATATAATTAATTAATCATTAGTGAATAAACCTATAAATTAGATTTTCACATTTAACGATAAAAACTTAATATTATTTTTCAGATTACTACAGAATATTCTTTACTATTTAAACAACAATGATAGTCGAAATAATAAATTGAAATTTACATTTTGGTTTTAAATAAATTCAAATTGTAACTACGCTGTCAGACTTCAGTTTAACAAAAAAAATTTTCTAAATAAAAGAAATGCGTCTTCAAAAATGTTTTCCAATCAAATAATTTTCATAAAATCAAAAATAATTTTCTAAAGAATTATTTTCTAATGAAGATTATATTCAATTAAAGTATATGATCATTATTTGAAAGCGTCTTCTTAACTTATCGAATCATCCAACGTACTGATGCTTTTTCTTGCCAAAATGCTTGAATCAGAGAACCCGAAGGATTCAGTGTCTGAAAAGTCAAACGTTATCCAAGTCGAAATTTTGTATAGTCCAGTGAGATTGTTTTTTTTTCAATATACCTAATTCATATACCAATGATGGGCAATGCCAGACCCTCGGTTATCGACAATCAATTAGCGCATCTCTTCCGTTGTTGGCTCTCGTTCGTCATCTGCTAGCCATTTGGAAAACAGAACCACATTTTTAGTAAAATACCTTGCTTCGAGATTGCCTGATTCCGAAACACTCACTAAATTTTGATCCATGTCGCATCCTGCAAAAAACCGTATTGAAATTAATCATAAATTAATATGAGATATCTACAGTTAACAAACGAACCTTATTACCGTCAATAAAGGACTTTGTGTAATTAGCTGAGCGATGCTATCGGTCACAGAAATGATTTGGGAATGTCAATGCCAGGCTTGACCATTGATGGCCTCGTTCAGACGCCGACTATCTACATCCAACATTTCTACCATTTCCTGTCGTCTATGCTCTTCAGCCCTTCTATTCATGCGACTATCAAACTTGTGTAATTTGTAAAGGGATACTAAAACTGCTATAAAAGCTATGAAGATTATTACTAACGTGATGTACAATAGAATATACTTCCATCCGTAATAACTTTCTACATCTGTCGTTGATCGTATAATCATTATTCAATTATAGTTATAGCATAGTACATATTTATTAAATGAAAAAAAAACTCGATGCTTACAAGGGTCATTTAGCTCAGGGAAATCGCCGCCGTTGCATTCATTTTTATTACAGCATTTATAACCATAATCGGAGTGTTTTCCCTGTGTTATATTATTACAAATATTTTGGTTATGCCGTAATGAAGTAACGCATCCACGTAATTTTTGTACGATGTCTGCGGATTCTCGAATGGTAGATTTAAAGCACTGAAATTTAAAAAACATTTGTTACGTATTTCAAATTTGAGATATGAATGAATGGCTAACAAGCTTATTAAGAGATTTTAATTACGTTAATTGCAGTTATACAAAGTGGCATTCGATTTATTGGCATTGTACACAAGTCACCCTCACACTCATAACAATGAAAAATAGGTTTCGTCGCCTGCATTTTTGTTTTGTGTACACTGAATAGACTGTTATTAATTTTGAGATTTCAATCTCAGTCCTAAATGGAAAAGTTATTTAACATTAGAACGAGACGATAGTACGATAGTATTCATGAAGTTCACAAACCGTTCTACAATTACTTTCAAGCAGGAGCCTTGGCAAATCCTACGTCCGCTAGCGTCGATTTTAGTTGAAAATGACAGTAAAATATTCACCAAATTAATGCCAGACATGCGACAGCACTGCCACAGAGATGGAACGAGAATGAGCAAGATTTGACAGAGTGAACAGCAGCTTGATTTTGAGACGTATATTAATTTCTAGCTTATAGTAGGACTTATTATATTAATTATATTAATAAGCTTATATACAATGTATTAAACAAGATTTTGACGTATTACAACCCAACGTCTATGTATTTGAATTTTAACCGGAATGAAAGTCTGTTAGGAGTCTACTGAAAATCTTCTTTATTATCTTGATGGATTTATATGATTAGTGGTACTGTTTACTTGGAATACATTTATTAATATTTATTATATTTTTTTTAACACTAAGATGATGCAAGCGTAATATAGACGAATAAATTGAAGTACAGTTCCGTGGTAAAATATTAGGAAAAAGTAAAAAAAATAAATTCACTATTTGAAAATCCTGGTGTATATAATATTAACGTCGATGTTTATCTTTTTGCATTAAGCATTCAGTAAAAATTTGAAAAAAAATAAAAATATAACTTTGAAAAAACGTTATTTATTTTATTATTTAATGACATTAAATAAAATCGTTCTAATAATTTCAATTATAAAAATCGGTAATAATCATTTACCTTAATTTTTCTGGAGACTATACACTTTGAACGGAAGTGTGAAAATATACGAAAAACTCATGCAGGGGCATATCGCGAAGAGGTTGCCTCAACGGCCTGCTCAATACATAAAAACATACATTTTTACGAGATTTAACCCGATAAAATCATTAAATTTTGTAATGGATATTTTCACAGATACTTCATATCTTGTACTGATTGAGAATTGTATTATAATAATATTTTTAATGATAAAACTCGTAGTTTATGGAGTGGCAAAGAAACAATATTACACAGAAATCACTTAGAGCTGTTAGCTCCCAAGCAACACTATTCGTTGTTAAAACGTCGGAGCAACGATAAAATTGAAACCAAGCAACTGAAAGGAACTCTTCAGAAACGTTGCTACAATTGCTTAATGTCCGCTTGAGGTTTAAAAAGTTACCCACTCGATCGCTCTGGAGTTAACGTCGTCAGAGACAATGAGATTTCTCGGTATTCTCAACGCGTCCTTGAATCCTTCCACTTTGTTCTTAAATTCTTCGGCTGTGCAGTTTAGGGTTCGAGTGGACGATGACAATACGTGACAGCGCCCACCTTTATCCAGACGTAGTCATCTCCTGCCCCACAGCTAAGGTCCACGTAACGCTGACCTCCCTAACCCAGATAGCTGACGTACCTGAGTCATTTGAAAACCATGTCGCAGTCATTATGTTCCGGCACTGTCGCTAATCACATCTCCGTTTCATTTCGCCATTGAAGTAGCAGTAGTTGCGTTGCATCGCATTTGTCTAGGTTTCCCTATAGTTTTCTTGTCTAACTTTCTGTTCAATATCCATTTAGATATAGAATTTCAAGTATTTCTAATATGATATTCTATATATGTGGTAAATATATAATACTTATTCTACTTCTATATTTTAAGCTGATATTTTTCAAATTTTTAACTCGTTTAGTAAAGATATTGATTTTTTTTAAAAACCTAAATTCATATTATTTCATGCTGATATTAATTTGATTAAAAAAGTTGTACCAGAGCTTCTTTTCTGCGATGAAACAAACCTCACAAAAGTTACTAAAAAGTTTTAAACAAAAAAAATATAAAATTGAAGTAAATCTTAAAAATATATACAAAAATAATTATTTTTTACTAATTTTTAGATAATACAAGAGTGTAAATTGCAGCTCCCTTCGGTTTAGTTAAATGAAACATTTTTCATACTTTTCTAAAACGTTTGTAAAATGTTTGTAAATTGCAGCTCCATTGGGCGTAGCTTAAGGGCTACCCTTCCATAAATATACAAATCAATGTAAATAAATGGATTGGCTTTGCTCTAAATTTGAAACATTTATTTTTGAAGAAACTGCTAGAACAACTATCGACTTATATTTTTTTTCGGGTTGCGAGCATGCGGTTAAACTTTGGAACAAAGTCGACCTAATAATTTACATTGTATATCTATACGATGGTCGGGGGTCCCTTAATGATACATTTTTCACACCTTGTTAAAACGTTTGAACAAAGCTTACACAAAGACAATGTTAATTCAAACTTAACAATTATCAAAATAGCTATGGCTCATTAAAATTCAATATATTTGCTCGTTTTTTACGAGCATTATAAATCAATTTATAGCAAAAACGTTTTTGCAAATGCGATGGTAAAAAATTAGTGTTTAATCAAAATACATCATCATTTCGTTATAATATAGTAATAATAATTTGAGTTTTCTCTTTATCTAGACGTAATTCAGGACTATTTATTTAAACATGTACAAAGCGATCTTCCTAGGAGATGCGGCGAAATATAATTTAACGATCAAACGAATTTGTCTTGAGTGAAGTTCGATTGCAATTATATGAGCCGCCTAGTTGTAAGACATTACTTTTCCCACTCTACCCAAATATTTGTTGTGTACCCCTGGAAAGTCATTGCGTTTGATTTAAACTAATGATGATACAAACAAATATCTTAAGATTGTTGAACATCTTTTGTTTTGTTTTTGATACATACGGATTGAACCGATTAAAGAATTGAATTTCAAAGCCATTACTTACGAAGATGAGGCGGCTCATATAATTCCGATGGAACTTCACTTTAAGTAAATTTGTCTAATCGTTCAAGTATATGGGTGGTTCTTAAATATTTCAATGGGCTTAGAGATATCAAGTCACTGATTTTTTTCAAATTTTGTACAGTTGTACATTTCTTTCTACATTTTTATCTCGAAATATTAATTATATTTAAAGTGATTAACTGTTAAGAAAAAATGATATTTCACGACTATTTTTGACGAACATATTAAGTTAGTGATACGAATTAATAATATTATTAATGTGATATGTCCGTTCGGCTTCCGTATAATCGATTTCGAATGTCACGATTCGATGAAATCGTCTGCGTCGACGATCGTCGGAATTAATCACCCTTATCCAGATCAATGATTTACTAAAATCAATAAATAAGTGAGTTACTTGTTTTTACACACTAGACAACGAATTAATTTATTAAAAAAAGAATTGAAGAAGCTGAACAGAACAATTTTTAAGATTTAAATCGCATTATTTAGTAGAATCAGTTCAATTTTGTAATATATTAAGTTAATACAATAATAAAATAATTCTTTAATAAACTTGTAAGTATTTCTTGGTACTATTAACATTTAATAATTAAACTTCAGTGGATATCTGTTCAATACTTTAATATAGTTAGTTCAGTCAAGCGAAAATTTTGCGTACTTTGGTAACTTGCAGATTACCGTATTAATTATATTACTGTAACAACGGTAACATTAATAATACAGTTAAGAAAATATTTAAAACTTTATTAAAAATTTATTATTATGATTAAACATTTATGCTATCCAACTATATTAGATAAAGACCAATAAATAAAAGATGATAAAATTGATTATTTATTTTATTATTAAATTATTATCACTTTGAATCTAAACAAATAAATATTCATTTGAACTTAACGTTGACTAACAATTATAGGTATTCAAGAGGCCGTTATTGAAATTAATTATAAAATAGATCACTTAACACAACGATTTATGCAAGTCACAATGTCGAATCAATTAAATTTAGATCATTAGAGAATATACCTATGAATATGATTCTTATATTTATCAATAAAATCTTGATATTTTTTTTCTAGATTACTGCAGAATATTCTTCACTATTTAGACGACAATGATAGACGAAATAATAAATAAAAATATGCATTTTAGTTTTACATAATTCAAACCGTGGCTATTTTGTCATGTACCAGTTTATCGAAAAAATAAAAATAAAAGAAAAGCGTCTTCAAAAAATATTTTAACACAACAATAATTTTCGTAAAAATTATTTTCCAATTAGATCGTTATTAAATTTAAGTAAATGATAAAATCTTCTAAGGTGTCGAAAGTGTTTTCTTAACTTATCGAATCAGACAAGGCATAGATACATTCGTTTGCTAAAATGCTTGAATCAGAAAACCTGAGGAACTATATCTAAAAATCAAACAAATCAATATCTGAAAAGTCAAACGTCATTCAAATTGAAAATTTAAATGGTACAATAAGGTTGCCTTTTCCACTATACTAAATCCATATGCCAATGATAGAGAATTGAAAACCTCTGATTATGGACAATCAATCAATAATGTACGGAATTGTCTGATTCAAACTGCTCGTCAAATTTTAATTGATGTGTCATTCCTGCAAAGAATCGTTTTGAAATTAACCATAAATGAATGTAAGTTTTTTTCAGTTGACAAATGAACCATGATTGATACCGTTAATAAAGGACTTAACTGGTATTTTGTGAAATTAGCTGAAAGGTGCTATCATTGACGGGAGTGATTTCAAAGCGTCAGCGTTGGGCGTGAGCTTCGACGGCTCTGACGTCGATTTTTATACGCTGCTTCGACGTCGCATTGTATTCATCTCTATCATTTCCTCTCGTATTTGCTGTTCTTGTCTACCAAAGCGTTTATAAACCTTGTATAATGTGTAAAGTGATACCGTGACTACTGCAGCAACTATGATGATTACGAATAACGTTATACACAATATTATATACCTCCAGTCAAATTGACTCTCTGTATCTATCATTGATGAAATAAAGATGATTCAATTACTATCAGTTACAGTATAGTATATAATTATTGTATGATATAAATCGATGCTTACAAGGATCTATCATAGGAAACGAGCCGTTATTACAGAATTCTTCATTGCAGCATCTATAACTAAAATCGGCGTGTTCCGCTTGTGATACGTCATTACAAATATCTCGATTGTGCTGCGGTGAAATAACACATCCGCGAGTATAATGTATAATGTCCTTGGATTTTCGAATGACAGATATGAAACACTAACATTCCAAAAAAAATTGTTGCATTTGTTTCAAAAAATTTTCAAATTTAAGATATACGAGAATGATCGGAGATGAGCTAATTGAGAGATTTGACTTACGTTCATTGCAGTCGTGCAATGCGGCATTTCCGTTAGTGATAGTGTGCATGACGTGTCTTCACACTGATGACAATTGAAACTAGATTCCATCATAATATCTCTTTAGCATACACTGGATGAATTATATTAGAAAGTTATTTAACATTAGAACGTGATGTCAATAACATGATAATATTTATGTATTCCACAAACTGGTCTAGATACATACAAATTAAAAGAACCTTGAAAAATCCTGCGATCGCTAGCGTCGATATATCTCTTTTTCAGTTAAAAATAAAAATCGTTTATTCACCACCAGGTTTATGCCAGACCTGCCACAGCACTGCAGATGGAAAGAGAATGAGATAGATTTGTCAGACTGAACAGCAGTTTGACTATGAGAAAAGTATTAATATTTGGCTTATTCTAGGACTTAACAAGCTTATATACAATCTATTACAGAAGATATTATACCCTACCGATAATGTATTCCATTTTCAACTGAAATCAAAATCTGTTCGCAATCTACTGACAATCTTGTTCACTATGTTGCTGGATTTGTGTAATCAGTGGTATTTATGAATCTATTTATCGTATCAGGTTTAAAACGGCATATGTAACTTATTACTTTTGCTTAGTTTTTAAAAACTCTTATTTTATTCATTTTATTAAATATTAAATTGATTTTCACGTAAAATAATAAAATAATTTTTTCTTGATACAATTATTGCTTTCTTTAAATTAAATATACTCTCTGAAAAATTCTTAAATCTGGGTTTTACTCACCAAACTCCAGTATAATAAAATTAAAGTTAAGAAAGAAATAAAATCAATAACATGACGGTTTCTACGCTTTCTTGTCTTAACTTGAATATTCTAATCGTATTTAAAACGTTGAACGGATTACATTAATATCATACAAGTTACTTTTATAGTGGAATGTAAGTTAAGAAAAGAGTAAAATAGAAAAGTAACCAGCAACTATGCTTTAATGCACATGAATTATAATTATTCGAATTGAATTTGACTTTGCTTTGTTAATAGTTACTATTATTATTAGGAGAGGAATGAAATCTGTGAAATACTGGCAAGTATGCTTTTGTCCAAAAAAATTGTAGTAATTAACCTTTGCTTGGAGTATCATATTGAATCAGAAAAAATTACAGAAAAATATAAAATCTTTGAAAAGTTGGTAAAAAAGGCAATGTTAACGTTTATAAAGAATCACTTTTAATTTATTTTGCTAAATTTGTAGCTGTATTGCTGAAAAAAATGTTGAATACTTTAGCTGTTTCTTCTGGATATTTTACTTATTTGCTTTGTGTTTTATTGGTTTTACCTTTGTTATTTTGTTCAATTTTCTGGTAAGCCGACAATTGTAGACATAACTACTTTGCACTTAAGTTGTTGTGCACAGTAACATACATGAAAATTGATACACAAATATAGTGTCATATTATACTGTGCATAATCATTCATGTGTAAAATAGTTATGCGCACAATTATCGACTTACCGATTTTCTATTTTATTTACTATTGATATATTTACATATACTTTTGCTCTCTTATTCAAACCTATTAGAGTTGTTCCATCTTTGATTTTGACGTCTTTTATTACTTTATTTAAAATTTTTTCATATTTTTTGTACTCTTCATTACATCTGTTCATCGGTGTACTATGCCAAATGTTATATAGCCGCTCTTTTTTTGCAAGAAATGATTATACCTTTAACCAGTCTTTTCATTTTATTTCTGCTTAAAATAATCAAAGTTACTTAAATTATAATGGTTTTAATCATATTGGCTACAGTATTACAGGTAATTCCTGAATCACCTATAGTAACAATAATATTCCATTTCATTTTTTCAGTAAACATTTTTAGTCTTTTATAATGAACATATTTATAATTGTATTTCTTAGCTATTTGTACCGGGATAGTATTTAAATTCTGGAAAAATAAATAGTGATCAGTGAAAGTGCTAATTACTTTTTACGGGTTTGTAATGATATCCGTTCTAGCAAATATATTATCAACGTAAGTTCCATTATTTTTATTATTGAAATTTTGCCTTCTATACTATTAAACTTTGGTTATACTTATACTTCATTAGACAATAAGAAATCCTGAACGTTGCTTTTTATTTATAAATCAATATTGAAATCATTTACTGTAAAGTGACTATGACAGTACTGGTATTCAGTTTCAAATACTCGATTAAATTTTTTTCAAAAAGTTTGCTGTAATAACGACATATATATACTCCAGTTACTTTAATTCCAATTGAATTTTTCAATATAATATCACAACTAATTACATTAAAGATATTACTTCTATCGTATTTAATATTATAGTTAATACTATTTTCAATAAACATAACTACGCCGTATACTTTATTTACATCTCCATTATTGTTGTACATGTTGTAATTTTATAGTTGATATAATTTACAATGATCTATTTTCCATAATTCAGAACATACGATGACATGAGCTTTGTATTTTAATCTGTTAATATGTATTTGTAAGTTATTTATATTTGCATTTAAACTTCTAATATTCATATAAAGAATAACGAATTTGTTCGCTAATTAAGTCTCGTTTATTATTTATAAAATTTTCAATTACTGGTGTAAAATCTCTATTATTTGCCATTTATAAACTTCTTAGAAACCTTGGTAACTGTCTTTCTACTCTGAGTTTCAGATTTATCGGTAATCCGCTTAATAACTTTTAGTAAGTTATTGACTAGTTCTTTTTCTAATGTATTTTTCGATGTACCTTCATTGCTGTTGCTGTTATTCGATTAATGAACGCTATATCTAAAAGATTTTTGAAACAATTGAAAATTGAATTAGGAAAACTTTATCACATAGTGGTATTGATAAAGAAAAATTTTGTGCTTATCAGAGTTTTTTCTGGCTAAGTTGCTCTGATGGGTCCCTAGAAAATAGTCCCCCAGATTTGGTGAGATTTGATTGCGTCGGCTGCTCCGTCAGTGCTATACCTACATATTCACTGTTGCTCACGTACACGCGGCTACAAGCTGAAAATTTATGCAATTAATTTACCTATATTTATTATTAAAAAATACGGAGTATTTCATGAAAAATTCTCACTTATACTTTGAAGTTGAAGAACTAGGCAGTCGCTGGATGTTGGTTGAATTTGAACCTGAAAATAATATAGATCATCTGTATTTTTATTCTTTGAAATATGTACATACTTTGTGATTATTTTATTTTTGTATAATGTTAAGTGATTTTGATTTCCATCTAAAAAAAGTAAAATAATCACAAAGTATGCATTTTGAAGAACAAAAATACTAGTAATCTATATTCCATATTTTCATCTTATTCATCAGATTCAAACCTTCAAACTTATTCAACCAACATCTAGGGACTGTCCGTTTTTCTACTTCAAACTATGACTGAGAATTCTACATTAAATGCTAAGCATTTTTCAATAATAAATATAGATAAAGTAATCGAATTAACTTTCAGTTTGTAACCACGAGTACTCAATTAGCAGTGACAAATAACAATCTAGGTTTAGCACTGACGGAGCAATCGACATAATCAAATTTTACCAAATCTGGGAGCCTATTTTCTAGAGATCCAGCAGAACAACTTTCCCAACAACAACGCTGGTGTTTATAGTACAACATATGTCACTATGATGACTGCGTAATCAAATGGTACTAATATATCCGTAAACTATCCGTACAACTACAGATTGGACTCAAACTTCTAATATATTTGTGAGAATTTATAATTTACTAATAATTAATGATCCTAAATTCGCTAGCTGTATTATGTAATTATTAATAAAATTGTAGTGAGAATCACATTTATTTTTACACCTAATTTAGAATAGCTACGCTTTGGTCTTTAGAGCCAGGCTGCATAATATATTTAATTGATAAAGTGAACTGAACTATAAGCTAAGTTCGATCAATTATAATTATATTAAAAGTGTTGTACGAAGAAATCAAACATCTACCACGCCTAAATAAAAATTATTTATTTTAACCTAATTATGAACATACTGTTCACGTAAAAGTGCAAGAATGCTTCAAAACAATGAAAATAACATCAATATAATACAGTAATTATAACAAGAAAAAAGTTCTTATATGTTTTTTTAAATTATTATGAAGGATCAAACTAATAACGTGACCATACTTTGATCTCTTTGGGCGACACTATATAATTGTAAATAAACATGACTCCGAATTAAGCTCGTTGAATCAATTAATTAATTGCTAACATAGACAAAAGAATTTTACTATGAACTTCGTTGAAAGCACTATTGACTTCTAAGTAAACAACAAGTAGTTATTATTTTTTTGCCGCATTTTCAATGTCGAAATTGAATGCCGTCAAAATTTTAGATATAGAGCTTTTAATTTCAGTAACCTGTTTGGCTTTAAGGTACTATATTTTGATTTTCAACCCGACATGAAATTATATAAAAAATTATTGATTAAAAAATCTTCTGAATATATTATGCTAAAACTAGAGGGCGCAAATTCCCTGCTCTTGCATCCATCCCGCACAGCAATTCTACTGAACTGATTCTCAAATGTAACAATAACAATTTAATTTTTTTCCAGATAAATAAAATATTTCACATGATAATGATGTTTAAAATAATAAATCAGAATATCGAAAATTTTAGTATAGTTTATCAGTTTATAGAAAAAAAATTGAAAACAAAAGAAATACGTCTTTAAAGAATCGTTTTTAATTAAAAATATTTTTCGTAAGAATATTTTTCCAATAATATCATCGTCCAAGTAGTATAAATAATTAATTATTTGAAGATATTGAAAGCGTCTCCATAACTTGTCAAATCGGCCAACGCGCTGATGCGTTTGTTTGTCAAGAGGTTTGAATCAGAGAACCCAAGAAATTCGTTATCTGAAAAATCAAACGTTATCCGAGTTGAAAATTTGAACAGCATAATATTATCTTTTCCAACATACCAGATCTGTATGCCAATTGTCATCGGAAATTTTGGAGTTATTAGTTTGATTATCAGCATTTAATTAGGACCTCTCCTCGGTTGTTGGCTCTTGTTCGTCAATAGCTAGCTACTCGGAGTCATATCTCCTATAATATAGTTTAAGCTATAGATATCGGATTGTCAATAAGTCTATAAATTCCAAATGTGCAAGTTGAAACCATATAATTGGTTCATCGATTTGATAAAACTGACGAATGATAAATAATATTTGATTTGAAAAAGTTCTTTACTCCAAACTTTGTTTGATTTGGCGTTTCTGTAAAGAATTATTTTAAAATTAAACCTCTAGAGGTTTCCCGTTGACAAATAAATCGTATTACCATTAATAAAAGACTTTGTGTAATTAACTGAACGATGCTATCATTGGCTGGAGTCATTTCGGATCGTCAAAGTTACGATCCAATACTTCTGACGATGCCGATACGCCCACGTGGCAATCCATTCATTTCTAACATCTCTACCAATTCTTCTTCTCTTTCTTGTCCTCCTTCTCCTCTTCTTTCTTGTCGTCCTTCTCCTTCTTCTCCTTCCCGCTGTGTTCTGTTGGCGCGCATCTCATATTGGTGTATTTTGATAAGAGTAGTGATGAGTACAACAAAAGATCCACAGATTATTGCTATAAACACATATAACATAATATATTTGAAGGAGAAAAAGTAATCTGCAAATATCGTTGATGAAATAAAAATTATTCAATTATTACCAACTATAACATAGTAAAAATACCAATGTCGACCCGTATTAATATCAGGTAGGATAGGCAAATGGCCGCCATTGCAAAAATCCCCTTTACAGCATTCATAACTATAATCGTCTTTATGCAGGAATGTTACATTACAAATATCTTGGAATACCTCTGTTGTAGGGATGCATCCACGATTATAATTAATGGTTGCGTCGGATCTTCGAATGGCATATTTATAGCACTAAAATTTCGAAATCATTTGATGCGTATTTACTAATTTGAAATATAAATGATGAACTAATTGAGAGCTTTTACTTACATTAATTGTAGTGTTGCAGGTTGGCAAATTCTTTACTGCTTTTTGGCACAAATCACCTACACACTTAAAACAACTAAACTCAGATTCCGTCATAATTTTTCTTTTGTGTACACACAATGAACTATTATGTTAGACCAATTTGGGATTCTAATTTCAATCCTAAACGAAATAGTTATTTAATATTAGAAAGTAACGTTGATAGCGCGATTTTACTCATGAATTTCACAAACCGTTCTAGATACTTTTGGACTAGTAGAACCTTGGCAGATCCTGTGATCGTTAATGTAGATATACGTTGTTCTTTCTCTGTTGAAAATGACAATAAATATTTACCAAATTGATGCCAGATCTGTGATAGTACTACCACGTAGATGGAACGACAGTGAAGTAGATTTGGTAAAGTAAACAACAGCTTCACTTTCACACATGTGTTGCTAGCTTATGGTAGAACTTAACAAGCTTATATATGATTATTTATTAAATAAGATTTCGACGTGTTACATCCTACCGATGATGTACTTGAATTTCAACTAGAATGGAAACTTGTTAGGAGCCTACTGAAGATCTTATTTATTACGTTGATGGATTTATATAACCAGTAGTACCATTTATGTCTTGGAATATACTTATTAGCATTCATTATATATTTAAAAAAAAAAAAAATTATATTAGCGCAATACAGACAAATAAATGAAAGTACAATTCTGTGGCAACGTATTAGGGAAAGGTCATAAATCTAATATTTAGAAACAATATGAATGTTAATTCATTTCATAATGTTGATTCATGTCTTTTTGCTTTAAGTATTCAGTAAAATTTTGAGAAAATATAAAGTCATGACAAAATTTTCTACGATTAAACTTCCAAAAAACCTAGTTTTTTAAAATATTTTTGCAAACTGAAAAAAAATTAATGAAAAATATAATTTTTCTACCTCTACGTGGCTTTCCACTCCTTGTTATTTTTCATAACAGTGATTTAGGCTTTATTCAATAAGTAAAATATTACAAAATTTTTGTGAAAATGCACTATAACTATAACCGTGAATGTCTACCAAAGTATTTTATTTACATTGTGAAGAATACTTTTTAGAATAACTTATATTGAATTTTTAGTATTTTTGAAACTTTTAGATAATTTTTCAACACAGATCTTTGGATAATAAAATCTTAACACTTCATTGATAACAATTTAAAATCATAAGTATCATATTAACTTCATATTTATTTGCCAATAAATAAAATCGTCAGTTATATCTCATACCAATCATGGGAATATTTAATGATTATTGAATTTTCGAATTTTGAATTTCACCAATAAAAGTTTTGATTTGTATTCGTGCATTAAAATAAATGTGAAAAAAAAACGAAAAATATGAACACGCGAAGCGCGCTAACATCACTAAATATTGTCTCAAATGATAGGATAATACGGATTGAAAAATGGACATTGATGATTCAAATGACAAGATCAAAAACAATTTCAAGAATTTCCTTTAAAATAAAAACAGCCGTTGAAGTTTAGAATAAATTAGATAACGATTTTTTCACAGGCCTAGGCCATGCCGAAAATATGACTTGAACGTTCATTAAAAAATATGCGCTCAAATTTGTGCTTTCCATATATTGTTTTGAAAAGTACCGTAACTAACGTGTTCGAGAAAAAGAGTCGTCTATCGTGCCTTTCCACCCTCGCTTCGCTCGGACGTAAATCTCACGTGAGACAACAATCTACTTTCCCGTACCAGTTAAGTATTGTATTATTTTAGGAAGAACTTGATAAATTATTTTCACAATGTGCCACTATCAGATTCACAACGGTCGCTTTCTTAAAGTCAAAGATCGAAAACATCTCTTGAACATTCACTTTGAATTTCGAATTTAACAGTTCACATCAAATAGATTAGGATTTTTTGTATGATAAATGACTTTTCTTATGACGATACCATAGTTATTGTTGCCAATATTACTATTATAATCGCTAATATTAGTTTGGTCGCTTGCATACGTCGCATTTGGATCAGTCGCGAATCAATTACATATTATTTAATAAATATATTCAATTATTATCACATTTATGTAGCACAAAGGTTCCAACAAAAGCACTCAGAAACAATTTAAGCCGTGTATTAATCAGGTACTGACGAATGAATTAGTACACAATTATTTCAATCTCGATTCGACAGGTACAAATTATTTCAGGTATTTAATTCTTCATACTACGCAAGCGATTAAAATTTTGGATTTAACTAACAATTACGTTAATGATTTATGGAAGGCTAGGCTCCTTTGAAATTCCAAAAAGGCAAGACTACGATAGTTTTGAATTTGATTTTTGCGGAAAGTTTGAGAAAACGAATAATGACCAAATAATAGAATACATGGTAATAGATTGATACAGTCATGTTTTGAATATATTTCAGTACAAAATGAAGATAATTATGTTAGTATGGAGAATATTACAAATCAAATAATTGCATATGATTATACTTAATTATACTATGTAAAGTAAAGATATGTTAGTATATTTATAATAATATATTTCCACGGATAAAATGTTAATATTGCCATATAACTAGATGTTTCTTTCATAGAAACCAACTATTATACAACTCGAGGCGGTTCGTCGCCAGGCGATTTTCATTTGAGAACTGTCGTTGGAAATACCACGAAAATTGTGATCCTTTTAAACAAAAGAAATGAAGGAATTGAATTTTTGTACAGTCATGATCAACTGAACTGAGTAGATATATATTTACATCAATTTCTTTGAAGTTACAGATATATTGTTGCTGTGCGTAACAACGGTAATTTAGGTAATAATTTAAAATGTTGATAACATGTTTAAAACTCATTTATTATTAAATTTCCTCTAAACAAACTATATTACAGAAAAACTAATGAATAAAAGTTGATATAATTCATAATTTATGTGATTATTTCATTATAATCACATTGAATGAATATGAATTAAATATTGAATTTAATATAGATTTATGCAAATCACAATGTGCAGTCAATTAGATTTTGACATTCATCGATAAAAACTTGATTGTTTTTAAATTACTACAGAATATTTTGCATTATTTAGACGACAATGATTATTGAAATTATAAGTTGGAATATGCTTTTCGGTAATAATAAAATTCAAATTGAAGATATATGGTAAGATACCAGTTTATCAAAAAAATATTGATAATATAAGAAATACGATTTACAAGAGTCTTTTCGAGTCAAAAATAATGTTTATAAAAATATTTTCCCAATGAAATAATCGTCAAAGTAGAATAAATAATTAATGCTTTCAAGATGTAAAAGTGTCTTCTTAAGTTGTTGAATCGACTGATGCGTTGATACTTGTCAAGAAGTTTGAATCAGAAATCCCAACGAATTTGTTATCTGAAAAATCAAACATCATCCAAGTTGAAAATTTGAATGCTACAATACGATTGTGTTTTCGAACATACTGTATCCATATACCAACGATGGAAGTTCCGGAGTACTCGATTGTCAGCATTTAATTAGTACTTCTCGGTTGTCGGCTCTCGTTCATTAATCGCTAGTCACTCGAAAAAAGGATTCATATCCTAAATCAAGGTCTAAAGCGCACATACCATATATCTCCAAAAATATGAAGTTCAAACTGTAGATTCGAATTCTCCACAAATCTATAAATAACAAATGTTATTGTCAAAACTACAATCGGAATGCTATTTACAGGATCGGAATTAGTGACAGGGATATTTGAGGAACGTGAAGATCTGACCTCTTCGGGTTCATTCTGTTCTGATTCAGACTCCATCTGTTTCAATTGGAATTCTCGCCTTGCATTAAGTATTTGATTCTCATACTGGTTTAGTTTGAGTATAGTCACGATCATTGTTCCAAGAGTTCCAAAGGCAAATAATAACATTAAACTGAGTAGTAAATAAATCCAGGAGTTATAGCACGCTGCATCTATCATTGATCAAACAAAAATAATTCAATTATTGGTAGTTATATGTAGTGCGCTTTTATTAAATGCTTACTAGTCTCTAATGGATTAGCAAAATGACCGTCGTTGCAGAAATGACCTTCACAGCAGTCATAACCATTATTGGCAGTATTCGCATCTGGTATATTATTACAAATATTTTGGTTTTGCATCGATGCAGTGATACATCCGCGTGCAAAATTTAAGATGTTTCCTGTTTTCCAAATCTCAGATTTGAAGCACTGAAAATCCCAAAACATTTGTTACATGTTTCAAAGAGATATAAATTATTAGAAAATGAGCTGATTGATAGCTTTTACTTACGCCAATGCCAGTCGCGCAATGTGGCAATAGCGTTAGTGATTTTGTGCACAACTCATTTGCACACTGATAGCAATAGTAAACTGAACGTTGCGCCATGATTTTTTTTTTGCATATGAAAAATGAGTTATTCTATCAGATCGATTTGAGGTTCTAATATTAGTCCTAAAAGGAATAATTATTTAACATTAGAATGTGATGTACGGAATAACATGGAAACGTTTTTAAAAACGTTTTAAAGAAAATTTAAGAACGTTTAGAAATGATAGGTTGTAAAATTGTTACAATCACGGTAAATCCGTGTGCTTAAATTTAAACGTTTAATATGACGTCACCCATAAGAAATACATTGTCCTCAATTTTAAATACTTCTAAACGTTTAAATTCAGCGACAATGTATTTCTTATGGGTGACGTCACAATTACACACTTAAAACGTTTAAATTTAAACACATAGGATTTTTAAGGTTTTGCCGTGAATTAGATTAAATATGATAGTTTCTTTTGGTTAAAAAAAAATTAGAAAACCTCACGAAAACGTCGCAAGATGGTTTTACTAATATTATCTAAAAAGTTGTGAAATGTTTCTAGAACATTTTGAAAACGCTTTAAAAACGATTTTTTAATGTAAATTCAGGAAGTTGTCACGTCTAAATGTTTCAGAAACTTCTACAAAATGTTTAATTTAAAACGAATTCTGCATTCAATTATCATTGAAGCTTGAAAAATCATGAAAATAGGATTTTTCTTGTTTTCGGCCCTGTTTTACCATTTTTAAATCTAAAAAAAGTTGCAAATATTGGTTTTAACATGAAAAATATGCCAAAAATTTGGTTGGAATTGCAAACCGAAAAAAATTGGTTTGATGTTTTCAAATAGTCCCCTTCTAAATTTGAATTTCATGCCAAAGATTTTACTATGACATCATTTTATAGAGTTTAAAAATGCTACGAATAAAGTAAAATAATTTTTAACTCAGAAAATGACCAAAATATTCTAAAATAGAAAGTATGTCAGAAACAGATTGTGCTCATGCGCGTGAGTCAACAGGTTCGCCATTTTATTTAACATCATAGCTTTTGATGACAAAAAATGTGTCTAACCTGAATAAGATTCCGTTAAAGGCATTTTTAACTTATATATCCCGCCGAGTCCTTTATTATACAATAAAAACATATTTAAATTTATCATTCGATTTCTCACTGCCAATCTTGTGAAATCTCAGTTAGTTATATCATCAAATCTTTTCTTCTTCGACATCAAGTTTAATCGTTTCTCTATCAATAATAAATAACTATAGTTAAGCCTGTCGCAATAAAACTAACGAATAAACTCGAAACTTACTATTTATAATGAAAAAGGAAAACCTTTCCAAAACGAATTTATTTTGAAAAATGCGTTTTTAAATTGTTTCCAAAACGTTCTACACATGTGTCAGCTTATTATACAATATCATTTAAACATTTCTGAAAGGTTTTTTAATTTATTACACTTCTTAAATGTTCCTGTAACAAAAACAGCGGTCATATTTAACGTTTCTGAAATGTGTATGCAACATAAATTTCTTAACGTTTTCAAGTTCTCCAAAAACAGTTTCCAAAACAAGTTAAAAACTTTTTTCTGCGTTTTTCGGGATTGATAGAGTGATAGTATTCAAGAATTTCACAAACCATTCTACATATTTTTAGATTTAGAAATAGAAATTAGAAGAACCTTGCCAAAATCTATGATTCCTAGTTTCAATACATCTCCTTCACAGTTGAAAATGATAGTAAACTATTCACCAACTTAATGCCAGACCTGCGACAGTACTGCCATACAGATGATTCGGGCATGAGGTCGATTTGGCGAAGCGAACAGCAACTTAACTGAGATGTGTCTTCAACTTACAGTAGCGCTTAACAAGCTTATATACGATCTGCTAAATAAGATTTCGACGTATAACATCCCACCAATGCTTTGAATTTTAACTGCATTGAAAATCTGTAGGAAGCCTACTGAAAATCCTGCTTATATCGTTGAGGGATTTATAGTAAAATATTAGGAATTCATCATGAATGCAATATTATGCAATATTATGAAAACAGCGAAATATAGTATTCATTTCAACGTAATGTGAACGTCAAGCCATATCTTTTTGCATTCAGCATTCAGTATAAAATTTGAAATCTTGACAAAACATTTGATAGTTTAACTTCTAAATAATTTTAATTTTAATTTTAAATCGTTATGTTTGCGATCGTCGTATGGTACATCAATAAATTTAGTTCAATTGTAATTGATTATATCTGAAATGCATGTAGCTAATATATAACTAATAAAAAATAGTTACACGAAGGTTGAAACAATAATTCAGGTTTTTACTTGTTTCAAAACCAGGAATGAAACGGATGCGAGTATTTTATCAAATTAATGGTATAAGAGCGATGCTGATGCAATTAGAAGTTTATTATCACTTAAAAATATAAAGTGACTCGTGACTTGACATGTTTGCATTGCCTAATTTGTACGCATAATTCGAAGTATAGTTTGAATAAATTAATCAAGTAAGGGTAATTTCTATTCAATTTGCTTCGAATATTGAAATTGTTTTTTGATTTAGCAGGATTGAAAAACCGAATCTTAATTTTTTTAGTTTAATAAAAAACGAATAAAGATAGCGTTGTTCAGATGCAATTCGGATTCATCATTGACGAAGACATAGATTTTTTAATTAATTTTTTTCTTTCTACATACTTTTTAAGGCTGTAATGAGAAATATATTAACGGTTCAAGTAAGTAGGTGGTGAGCGTATGCATGCATCAGTGTCTAAGGTTGCGAGAGCTGGGACGTATTCCTTTCTTTCTCTCGATCTTGTGCATAACAATTATCAATGGCAGCTTATGTACTGTGAAAATTGATAAAGGGAATTAAGTGGTAAAACTGTATTCGGTTTGTTTCCATTTCGATTTTCGTGTTTCAAAAATGTAGTATGGAGTTACAATGTTATAATAAATATTAAATTTCAGAGACACAATTAATGTCAAGTTATAGGCAACATTTTCTGTATCAAATACCTGTTAAACATTACCAATTTGAAGGTTAATTTATACAGAAATCAACAAAATACTTTATAGATTTTAAGTTTTAAGAAAACAATTAGCGTTAAAGATTATTTATAACAAATCTAAGTTGATAAAATGAATTACGAATTATAGAAACTTTGAATATAGTTAGATTAAATAGAACAATGTCAGCTTTAGAAATTACATAACAATAAGAATAAATGAATAATGTATGTATTTCAACTTATAATTATTTTGAAATAATAAATGTAATTTTATAATTAATTTTAAACTATGATATAGAATGTGACTTTACAGATCCAAAAATAAAATGATAGTATCATTTACAATGTTGAAAATAATACACCAGATGCCATCTCTGATGGAAGCTAGAACCTCGGAAAAATGACTTCTGCGGCTATACATTCATCCGAGAGAAATCTTCATATAATCTTGAAGGCATTGTGTAAGAAAGCTTCTCTGAAGTTATATGATAAATAAAGGTATGTTTCTGTAACGAATTCTTCTCAAAATTGTTTTGAGTTAAATTTGCAAATGTTCTCATAAAAGTGGTAAAATTGACTATATGGAAAAATCTTTCGATTAAACCAGAATAGCGATCTAAAGGAATTTTCATTCACTAACGTTCAGAAAAATGTGGTATCTTTTTCGAAAAATAAGTTACAACGTGATGAAAAAATGTTCATAATAGCTTTAATAGAATTTTGTTAGACCACAGTAGAGAAAACTTATAAATTCCCAGCTTATCAATAGTCCTTAATTTTTTTACACATTAGATACTTTATAAAGGCATATCTCCTTTCTGACTAATAAAAATTTGCAATGTTGAAAGTTAAAATACTTATTCATAATCTCCATTACTTACTTAGTTAACATGTTCTTCGGATTCTCTGCGTGATGGGCTCTGTAGTGCATTTTTTTATCACAAATTTAACATTTGAATTTGGATAGTAATTCTACTTAAAAAAATGGTCCAGATATACAGCTTATTTTTTACGATAACTTTATTCAAAGTTGTAAGCTATATCTACATTTGCATCAAAAAGAATTTTTGAACTTACACATTTTTTACGTTTTTAATTCTATCTGTGCAGATACTGTCAAGGATTGAAATAATAAATTGGAATATACACTCTAGTCATACAAAATTCAAACTTTAGCTATGTGCTAAGGCACCATTTTATCGAAAAAATATTAAAAAAGATAAATTAAAAATAATTTTTGTAGGAATGTTTTCCAATGAAATTACAATTAAATTGAAGTAAACGATTAGTTTTTTAAAAATGTCGAAAGCGTGCAATTAAATTGTCGAATCAGCCGACGCTTTGATACTTTCACTCGCCAAGGAATTTGAATTAGAGATCCCAATGAACTCCTTATCTGAAAAGTTAAATGTTATCAAAGTTAAAAATTTGAATGCTAAGAAAATTGTGTCTTCCAACATACCGGATCGATATGCCAATGATCGAAAAAGTTCCGGAGTCCTCGATTGTCAGCAATAAATTAGGATCTCTCCTCGGTTATCGTCAATAGGTAGACACTCGAAATCATATCTTAAATCAACATCTTCAATGCACATGAGATATATCTCCTAGAATATAGCTCAAGCTGTAGATATCCAATTGTCAATTGTCAATAAGTCAGTAAATATCAAATGATATCGAGAAAGCTAAAAGCATATAATTAGTTCACTGCATTGATAAAATTGAAAAACATCGAATGATACATTATTTGAAAAAGTACCTTGCTTCAGTACGGGATTACCAGATCCCGAACTGCTTGCCAAACTTCGATCGAATTAATATTCCTACAAAGAATCGTTTCGAAACTAATTACGAATAAGTTTGAGTTGTTTCCTGTTGACAAACGTACTATATTGTCATTAATAATAGAGTTAATTGATATTTGTAAAATTAGCTAAAGTATAATATCGTTGACAGAGTGTTCCAGGAACATTAAGGTCTGGACCTGACGTTTATACGCTGGTCTGCATCCATCTCTACCAGTTTCAATTGGAATTCGTGTCTTGCTTCAAGCAATCGTTGTTCATACTGTTTTAGTTTCGTTACAGCAAAGAACATTGTTCCAAGAGTTCCGAAGGCAAACAATAACACGAAAAAGAGTACTACATAAATCCAGGAATTACAACACGGTGTCTCTATCGTTGATAAAAAAAAAGTCAATTATTCTCAGTTATATGTAGTGCGCGTTTATTAAATGCTTACCAGTCTCAAATGGCTTAGCAAAATGACCGTCGTTACAGAAATGACCATTACAGCAGTCATAACCATAATTGATGGTATTCGCATCTGTTATATTGGTACAGATATTTTGGTTTTGCAGCGCTTTAGTGATGCATCCGCGCGCAAAATTTACGATTTCCCCGGTTTTCTGAACAGCAGATTTAAAGCACTGGAAATTACATGGCATTTGTTACGTGTTTTCAAATTTAAAATATTAATTATTGGCAAATAAGCTGATTGTAAACGTTCACTTACGCCAATTGTAGACGTGCAATGTGGCAATGAGGCTAGTGATTTTGTGCACAACTCATTTTCACACTCATAACAATAGTAAACCATAGGTGACGCCATAATTTTCCTTCTACATACATAAAATGGTCTATTTTATCAAATCAATTTGAGGTTCTAATATTAATTCTGAATGGGATAGTTATTTAACATTAGAATGTGACGCCCCGAATAACATGAAAACGTTTTTATAACGTTGTTTAAAAAACGTGAAAACGTGTAGAAATTTAGTCCGTAAATCGTTTTAAATAAGTTTAATATGATATCTTGTTTTACGAAAGAAACATCTGGGAAATATTATAAAAACGTTTCAGAAAGATTCTACTGATACTATCTAAAAAGCTGAAAAGTTTCTAGAACGGTTCGAAAACGTTTGAAAAACACTTTCTTTTGTATTAAATTCAGACGGTGGTAACGTCTAAATGTTTCAGAAACTTTTTCAACGCACTTAATTAAAAACGAATTCTGCATAGTTGAAACTAAAGTATTACAAAAACCAGGACACAATTATTCAAAGAATATATCGTTAAAACTACGTGCTTTGAATTGTTTATGAAATATGAATGCTTAATATCATTCGGAAAGGTTTAGACAAATTTATTGTTAGAAAAAATACACGCAGAAAAATTGAAAAATATTTCTCACATAATTAATAATAATTATCATTGAAGCTTGAAAAATCATGAAAATAGGATTAAATTTAAAAGAAGTTACAAATATTGTTTTGACATGAAAAATATGCCAAAAATTAGTTTGGAATTGCAAACCGAAAAAAATTGGCGCTAATTTGATGTTTTCAAACGGTCGCCAAAATTTGAATTTCGGATCAAAGATTTTATTACGACACCATTTCATAAAGCTTAAAAATGCTATGGTTACTACAAATAATTTCTAGCTAGAAAACTCACCGAAATATTATGAAAAATAGAAAAATTGTCAAAAACAGATTCCGTCCATGCGCGTAAATCTATAGAACTATAATTTTGTTTAACATTTAATACAAGTTTCGATGACAAAAAAATTTGTTTAACCTAAATAAAATTCCATTTGGAGCATTTTTAACTTGCATATCTGGTCGAATCCTTTATTAGACAATAAAAAACGTATTTAAATTTATCATTCGATTTCTCACTGTCAATCTTATGAAATAATAGTAACATCATCAAATTTTTTCTTCTTCGACATCACATTCGATCATTTCTTTATATCAATGATAAATAGTTACAAGCTGAGCCTGTCACAATAACACTAATCAATAAACTAGACACTAACTATTGAAAAAGGGAAACCTTTCCAAAACATGTTGAAACCGTTTTCAAAGCCACCCGAATTTGTATTGAGAAAAGCGTTTTTAAAATGTTTCCAAAACAATTTATAAATGTGTCAACTTTTTAGAGAATATATTTTCTAATTTATTACGTGTCCTAAATGTTCGATTAACAAAAATTGGTCATATTTTATGTTACTGAAACGTTTATACAACATAAATTTCTTAACGTTTCCAAGTTTTCTAAAAAAAAAAAACGAGTTGGAAACTTCTGTGTGTTTTTCGGAGTTGATAGGGTGATAGTATTCGTGAATTTTACAAACCGTTCTAGATCCTTTCAAGTTTGAAGAACCTTGCCAAAATCTGTGATCCCTATTTTCAATACATCTCGTTCACAGGTGAAAATGATAATAAACTATTCACCAACTTAATGCCAGACTTGCGACAGCACTCTCATACAGATGGACCGACAATGAGGTAGATTTAGCAGAGTGAACAGTAGCTTGATTTTGAGATGTATGTCTCCGGCTTATAGTAGCGCTTAACAAGCTTATGTACGATCTACAAAATAAGATTTTGACATATAATATCCTACCATTGTTTTGAATTTTGACTGAAATGAAAGTCCGTTGGAAGCCTACTGAAAATCCTGCTTATGCCGTTGAGGGATTTATAGTAAATATGTTATAAATCTAATATTCGAAAACAGGGAGATGTAATATTGATTTGAACGTAATGTGAACGTCATTGCATATTTGCACCAAGCATTCAGCATAAATCCTGAAAAAATGTAAAGTGTTGACAAAGTATTTGATGGTTCAACCACCAAAACATGGTTTTTCAAATATATTTTTACAAACTGAAGAAAAATTGATGAACAATATAATATTTAACGACCGCTTCATGGCTTTTCACTCCCTAACGTGACGTCAAGAACATTTTTCTGTACTATTAGACTAATCTATTGAATTTAATTTTTTTTTTCTATTATTTATTTTATCTCTCTTTAAAAAATGTATAGCAAAAATCGGTTGTGAAGCATTTAATGATGTCAAGCGATAGCTGACAATGGTTTTTGTAGTCATAAACAAAGAATAAAAGGTTAATGTTAATAGGTTGATCAAAAATGTCAATTCAATAGTCATTGTTATATATAATGAATATATAAATAAGATTAATGTAATTATTATATTAAAATCTAATTTTAAAAAATATAAATAAATCTATTATAAAATAACAGTAATAAAGTTTTATATAATTCAATAGCTCAAGACATCATAAGTTATATCCGAATTTTTATTGCTTGTTCTAGTATTTTTCACTTTAGAAGGTTCTACTACCAATCGTACCATGTGGCAATCTTATCTTTTTGCAATTGCAAATATATTAATAAATATATACCTTATATACTATCAAATAACAAACAATTTAGATTATTTAACTACCAAACATATTTTAACGTAATTAAACATTAAATCGAACCAAAAATCAACCAGTTATTAACCACAAAATTTTACTGATAAACAATTAAATACAGAACTATACCAATCCAAAAAAAGCATACCATACCTTAAACCAATAATGCAATAAAATCATCCAAGATAAATGTTAATGAGTTAATTATTCGAATCAAATGGTTCTAGAGCGACCTACGGCATTAATGCCACAGGGGATAGTCATTCGACTTTATTATCAAATGTTTTCGAGTTATCGTGTATTCGATTTTTATAAATCCATATTTTTTAGTATGTCACAGCAAAACAGCTGGGAAGAGTGGAGGTCAAAGTTTGCATTGAGTCTAATGGGAACCGGTACAATAAAATTTGTTGAAAAATAATTTCAATATTAGTTTCAATAATTTCGTGATAAATAAAAAGTTTACTTGTTATAAAACTATAACAAAAATAAGTAATAGTAGGTTCGATACAATAAAGAAATTATTTCTGTAATATGAATATAGATTAAGCCTTAGAGGCCTATGGCTTTGAGTAAGTAAGATAATTATGTACATACATTTATTAATAACAAAAATCTTTCTTGAAAAATATTTATTGTGAAACACGCAGCTTACTCATCGGTTACAATTTTAGTTTCAGTAAATTAATTGAAAAACTATATATCATAAGAACAGATGTGTTAACGAAATCAGTTTAATGAATAATTGTGATTCTTATACTATTGCTAACCATAATTTTAGACTTTGATGTACAGTCCATAACACATCAATTAACCATTGTATAAACTTATAGATAACTGTTATAAAGCTACTCTGTACAGCTCTGAAACAATGGTCGACTTTTATATAATCAATTCATACCATAACAAATATTTTTCTAATAAATTATTTGAATTATTGTCTCATATCAAAAAACTATCGTACATTTATATTGGATGAATGAGTTTTTTATTAATTATTGTATTGAACCTACTATTACTTGTATTTTTTATAGTTTTCTAATAAGTAAACTTTTTATTTATCGCAAAATTATTGAAACTAATATCGAAATTATTTTTTAACAAATTTTATTGTACCGGTTTCCATAATGATTCAGTACAAGTTTTGACCATCCACTCTTCACAGCTGATTCGCTGTGATATGCTAAAAAGTTTATTATGAGACATTCTTTATGGTGTAATAAGGGTATCTTTTAATATTATTTTATGTAATTTTGCGATCAGATACAAATTTTTATGTAGGTTTTATCTTTTTTCATCATTTATTCAAATAAAATTTGGATACGTCAAGTTTGCGATTCATTTCTCTTCATTATCATCAGATCAGATCACGTTTCTTCTTTGATCTTATATTTCATTTAATAACTATTGTATTACACATATCATTGAACATTTAATATATCTACACATTTCAATATACGAATATAAATAATAAATACAATATTCTACAAGTAATGTGTGTATATATACACGTTCACTATCTTTCTGTTAATGATACTTATCAGATTAGGTATAATATTTAGGGATAAGTACATAAATAGTCAATGTGAATATGAAATCATGTTATTTGGTTAATTATATATGTGTATTTTTAATCGTGCAATGGTACAAGAGCAAAACAGATGCAGCTAGAAGTTTATTATCACTTGAAAATGTAAAGTAAGTCGTAAACTTAAATCAGTCAAATTTCCTTGTGCGTCGATAAAACTTATGAACATTATTCATATATCTTCAATTATGCAAGCATCTAATGAAATATTATCAATATTTCTTTTAGTTACAAGATAAATATTTTTTTAGTTATCGTTCGATGGATAAGATTATACAATTTATTTACAAGAACATATAGATCAGAAGAAGGTATTAAGACTCATATGCCATGATTTCTTTGGTACGTTTTCGACGTAGATAAGACATGTTTCTGCGAGTTATTTTTCAGCATTGTACATAGGTTTTCAAATTTTTATTACAACATAATATCACAGATATATTCCATTTGTTATCTATGTCTAGATCAGAAATATTTTTAAAAAATCATTTGGTCATTTAGTATTTAACAATTATCAATTTCATTATATTATACAGTGGTTGCATCCTCACAGCATTAGGCACGAGTCGGTGATTTCTTCCATCATGTATGTTATTGCAAAAGATCATATAATTTTGAATGCGGTGGTACAGAAACCAAATGAAATATAGAATTAATTATCTTCTTCGTTCGGTTTTTAACAGAAAGTAGTTTTCAAAGAGTACACAACAGTAATATCTGTTGATATTATCAATTGAAATGCTAAGTGCAAACTAAGCTATTTTTCAGAAACAAAGTGTTTGTTTTCTACCACTGATGCCGAGGCAAATTGAATTTTACAGTTTTAAACCACTGTATTGTATTGCAAATTTTGTACTCAACAATGTTATTTCTATGCATATTATTCGTTTATATTTTTTGCAATTTTTACCTTTGAACATTTATTGTAAAAAGCGGACAAATAAATTCGAGGTAGCAAAGTTAGCACATTAACTATTACTATAGTATGTACAAGCGATTCCATCACTAAAATAATCCTACTCTTGCATTCACGTTCCACCACAATTCTATTTGGCTAATTCTAACATTTATCGGAAATAACTTAATTTTTTTCAGATTTTTACAGAATATTTTTCGTTCTTCAATAATAATATAATAATAATAACGATAATGATAATTTAAATGATAAACTGGAATATATATTATAGTTGTACAAAGTTCAAATTGTAGCTACGTGATAAAGCACCAGTTTATCAAAAAAATATTAAAAATAAAAGAAATATGTTTCAAAAAATATTTCAAGTCAAAAAAAACTTTTATAAGAATGTTTTTCCAGTGAAATCATCATGAAATTAAAGTGAATGATTAATTCTTTGAAGGTACCGAAAGCGTCTTCTTAACTTATCGAATCGGTCAACGGCTGGTGCGTTCGCTTGCCAAGGAGTTTAAATCAGAGATGCCAATAAATTCATTATCTGAAAATTCAAACGTCATCCAAGTTACAATATTTTACGATACAAGAGCGGAAAAGTAGATTCTCGTCTCGTGTGGCGTTTACAAACGATAGATATACAAAATCAAGATCTTTTTCCTGAACATGTATCGTATAGTATTTTTCGATACAACTTCATTTTTAAGCGCTCGTTTTCGAAAGCACGTTTTTAAATGTACATTTTTGGCTGAGCGTTGAAAAAAATTTGAAGTACAGTAAGATTGCCTTTTTCAATAAATCAGATGCGTATGCCAATTATTAAGAATTCCAGACCCTCGATTAACGACAATCAATTTTTCATCCAATCGGTTATCGGCTCTCGTTCGTCAATACCTAGTCACTGGGAAAACGAAGCTTATTTTGAATCGACGTCTTCAACGCACATGCGATACTTCCAAAATACGAAGTTCAAGCTGTCGATGTCGGATTGTCGATAAGTCTATAAATATTGAATATTATCGTGAAAGCTGAAAGTATATAATTGATTCATTGAATTAATAAAACTAATGAAAAACAAATGCTATATGATTTGAAAAGGTACTTTGCTTCGGTACAAGATTACCTAAGTTTAAATCGCTCGTCAAACTTTGATTGTTGGAAAGTTTCTGAAAAGAATGATGTCGATATTAATCATAAATGTAAGTTAGAGATTTCCAATTGACAAACAAATCACAATACAGTGAATAACGTACTTCATGAAATTATTTGAGCTATGCTATCATTGATAGTTTAGAGTAATATCGGAACGGTAACATCAGGTGCTCTTTAAAAGGGTCTCTCTAAATGGGTCTAATGATGCCCTTCATATGTCGTCCCTATCTACTATCCTTACCACATTCGGTGGTCTTTGCTGTAATCCGCCTCTGCGTCGTATTCTGAGAACTACATTAAAGTAGAATGCAACAGCTACGCCGAGTGCTATTAAAATTCCATTGAATATAAAAAACAACCAGAACAAATATTTATCTGCATCTATCGATCATGAAATAAAAATTATAAAATTATTATTACGCATTTTTGAATGAGAAATATTCAATGCTTACAACGATATCGTAGTAGTTCAGGAAAATCGCCACCGTTGCACAATTCCTCTTGACAACAATTATAACCATACTCATAATGACTTGCCTGTGTTATATTATTGCAAATATCTTGACTTTGGTGCAGTGTAGAAATACAACCACGAGAATGTTGTATCTTGTTACCGATTTCTCGAAGAGAAGATTTCCAGCACTGCAATTCCAAAAATATTTCTTGCGTATTTGCAAATTTGAGATGTAAGTAAACAGATAAGCTAATTGAAAGTTTTTACTTACGTTAAATGCAGTCTTGCAAATTGTTAATTTATTGTCTGGTAATTTGCACTGATCATTGATACACTGATAACAACTGAACCAAAATTGCGACATAATTTTTTTGTGTACGAGCTATATGAGATATTATATGAGATAAATTTGAGATTCTAATTTTAATCCTGAATGGAATAATTATTCAACATTAGAAAATGACGTTGGTATGTAAGAAAATGACAATAAACTATTCATCAAGTTAATGTCAAGTTAATTCGTCAAGTAAGAGCACTGCCACACAGATAGAACGAAAATCAGATATATTTGACAGAGTGAGCAGCAGCTGCTTTACTTTGAGATTTGTTTCCGGCTTATAGTAGGGCTTAATGAGCTTATATACGATCTACTGTACAAAATTTCGACATATACACCTCACTGATGATGTACTTGAATTTCGTGAACTGGAATTAAAGTCCGTTTGAAGCCTACTAAAAATCTTGTTTATTCCATTGATGGACTTACATGGTTAGTAGTACTAGTAAATTTATCTATATCTTGGAATATATTTATTAATATTCATTATTCAATTAGTAAGACTAAGATCAGATAAACACAATATAGCTGATAAATGGAAATATCATTTGTTGGTAAAATATTGAAAAAAGTTCAGAAATTCAATTTTGTATTATCGTAAGATATAATATTCACTCCAACGTAATATAAACATCAATACGTATCTTTTGGCATTAGGTAATTGGTAAAAATATGAGAAAATATAAAGTTATGACAAAATTTTCAATAATATAACATAAAAAGAATGTAGTTTTTCAAATATATTTTTGCTAACTAAAAGAAGATTAGTGAAAAATATAATATTCAACTACCTCTACGTGACTTCACTAAACGCTGTTTTCACCTGTAATAATAGCATTGTGAATCTCAAATTTCAACAATTATCTTAAATGACGCGACAATATTTATAAAAATATAGGTAATGACGATTCGAACAATATGATCAAAAAGCATTTTCAAAGGATTCATTACCTCTTTAAAAATTGACACACACGTGTTCATGTTTGGAATGGAATGATACAAAGTTAGCGGATAAAACTTAACAAGCTCCGTCCAATTCTTTTCACCACCAATCTCGTAACGACTTTTTGGTATAGCATTTTATATAATATTAGCCGTTACTCGTCTGTATCTCACTCCTACAACAATCTATCATGTTTTTAATGCAGTTAAGAAGTTAAGTATAGGTGATAGGTCCATATTAAATACATAGGCCTACTAACCTTAAATATTACTTTATTCTGGTTTAATTTTGAACTTATTGGAAATAACTCCATCATACACCATTCCTTAAGTTATCTAATAATGGACAACTGAAATATTTATAAAAAATTCAAAACTGAAAGAGAGTAACATTCGGAGATAAATTACTACAGTATTATAATTATTACATTACAGTAACATAGATAATAACTTATGTTACTGTTATATATCATCACTTTGTAAAATAAATTTTTTTTTTTTAATTTAAGCTTTATTAACTTCTAATACATAAGTTATTTAGCAGTATACAAAATACAATAATAATTTTGAGAACATATCATTCTGTTTCTGTTCTTGCGATCAGGCAAAGCATGTTCGAGGAATACAGTCTAACTTAGGTTGCTATATTTTAACATTACAATCCGTCAAAAATTTACAAACAATACGCATTGCTTTAACATTTGGTTCAGATAGTAAGCATTTGATATCTAAGGGGAGGTATAGTTTTATTTTTGCTAATGATTTAACTAGTGTAGGCCTTTGGTTTTCATGTAATGAGCATTGCCAAATTACATGGTTTATATCTTGTACATAATTTCCGCATTCACATTGTGGATCAGGCACGACTTTTATTTTAGTTAATGATTCTTTTAAATTAACATGATTGCTGCGAATTCTACAAAAAGTAACGATAAGTTGTCTCGAGAGTGACTTGTCAGCAAACCAGGGTTTCGACATGTCTTTATAATTTGATTCAAAGTAAGTTTTTCCTTTTACAGTAAAGTCGCAGCAGATCGATTTATTGGTTTTATTTAGAAAAATTTGTTTGAAAAATGGTTTAAAATCACTGTAAGGAATATTTTTGATAAAAGGTATTTGTTCCGTTGCTCTTTTAGCATGCTCATCTGCCAGTTCGTTACCATCAATTCCTACATGTGCTGGTACCCAATAGATCGTAACTCTAATTAAATCATTGCTTCTTTTCATTACTTCGATAAGTTTACGTCTTATTTCTAATAAAATATAATTTTGATCAACCGTGTTTTTGGGGTTAGTTAATGATTGCACTACACTGAGTGAGTCAGTAAAATTGTCAACTTGATAGTTATTAAACTCCAGTGCAATATCAATTGCATCAGATATTGCTATACATTCGGCGGTAAAGATTGAGGCTTTTTTTATTATACTTTTAGTTTTGATGACATTTAACTCTGGGCACACACAAGCAGTGCCTACCGATAAACCTTTCTCGTTTTTACTGCCGTCTGTATAGATTTTTATGGAGTCGATACTTTCAAATTTTTTTTTGAACATTTCATTGGGGTGCTCGCTTTTTTGCATTTGTAGCCCAAATTCAAAATTTGTATTAATTTTATATTTAATAATATCATGTTCGTAATTGTATAAGGATGGATATATGTCTTTATGTATTAAATGTTTGATGCAAGTTATTTTTTTAATGCATTTTTCTAAAATGGACTTTTTTTTCCTTGTACATGTGCCAATGTCTAACTCATATTTTTCAATAGTCGATAGTGTCAGTGAATTTTTAATGCTATAGGTTTTTAACAAAAAGTTTGTACATACTATCTCAGTTCTGTGTTGCAACATTATCAATTTCGCTTCGGCAAGTAATACATTGGTAGGAGTGCTCATCCTTAGACCAAGTGACATCCTAATAGCAGCATATTGTATTCTTTCTAGTTTGTCCTTTTTTGCTTTTTGTGATGGGTAGTAAATAAACCATCCATAATCAATTATGGCTCTTACATAGCTTTTATAAAACGTTAGAAGAGTGGTGGGATGCGCTCCCCACCATACACCTCTTAAGAATTTAATAATATTGAGAGCTCTGTATGTTTTTTCATGTACATATTGTAAGTGTTTGTCAAATATCATTTGGTAATCAAAGAGCATTCCGAGAAATTTGACTTGTTCAAGAGATGGTAGCATGGTGTTGCCTATCGCGATTTCCGTGTCGCCCGGTAGATAGCCGTCTCGGTTGAAATGTATGTAGTTTGTTTTAGTTGGGGAAACGTCCAAGCCAATAGTTCTCAGTCTGTCAGTCACTATTTTTATTGTATTTTCTATTATTTTTTTATCATTGTCAAAATCTGAGGTTTCAATGTACAAAACTACGTCGTCAGCAAATTGTAAGTTCTTTATTTTTTGGTTGAGTTCTAAAAAGATACTAGAGACATAAATAATATATAAAAGTGGGCTAAGCACTCCCCCTTGAGGGACTCCCTTATAACAGTGTTTTGGGTCATCAATGTTAATTTCCGAAAACAACAATCTGTGTTCTATTAAGTATTTGATGAAATTAATAACCTTGGACGAGCATCCTTTATTTGCTAGTGTTTGTAATAAAATATGACTTTGAACATTGTTGAATGCGTTGCTTATGTCTAGAAAAACAGCAAGAACGTGCTCGTTTTTCTTAAAAGCGTTCATTATATTTAATTTAAAGGTTGATAAATTATCCATACAAGACATTCCTTTTCTAAATCCAGATTAACTGCTGGGTAAAATGTTCTCATTTTCGACCCATGACCTTAGCCTGTACGAGAGCATTAGTTCGAATATTTTACAAATACAGGAAGTCAGAGCTAAAGGGCGTAGTCCTTTGCCGTTTGGTTTTTCTACAAAGTGTATGTAAGTTTGTATCCAGCTCTCGGGATAAGTGTTGGTGGCGTAGCATTCGTTAAGTATGTCGAGTAATAAAAGGTGATATTTTATGGGTAGGTTGTGAAGAACTTCGTAGTTTATTCCATCTAAGCCTGGTGCAGATTTATTTCCCCTGGACTTTAAGGCAGTATTAAATTCAACAAAGCTGAATGGGACATCTAACAGGGGGTTGTCAGAGCCGCTCAATATTTCATGACAGTTAAAAAGTTTCGGTTCAGAATATAGTTCATTTAAGGTTGACTCGATTTTTTCTTTATTATTTGCATACTCGTCTTTACTCTGGGGATTAATTTTTATCCATTTATTTTTGAATATTCTAGCTTTTTCCCATGTGTATTTTAAGTTGACATTCATATTTATAGATTCTGCAAATTTATGAAAAGAATTTTTCTTTTTTGTTTTGAAAGTATGTTTAGCAACTGCTCTTAAACGTTTGTATTCTATCAAGTCCGAAAGTCTACCTGAATACTCCCATTTCTTATAAGCAACTTGTCTTAGGCGTTTAATTCTTTCACAGTCATTGTCCCACCATTCGACCGGGTTTCTGTGATGTTTTTTGTTGTATACTCTCTTTGGGCTGCAGTTTATAACCGCTTCAGATATAGTTTTAGTAAAAAGATTGTATTTTTCTAGAGAATTGGAATTTTCGTAGTCATACGTAAGAAACTGTTCATAATTTTTCTCGAGTGTGTTGTTAACTTTTTTCCAGTCGGTGCGTTTTGATTGTATTTTGAATGAGCGTTTGTTATATGTTATTTTTTCCGAGTCATAATTAATGTAAATCGGAAAATGATCTGATCCCCGTGAATCTTCAGTTACTTTGATTTTTATTAGATGTGCTATGTTCATAGTGGAAAAAATTAATTCGATATTAGACTTGGTGTTGTCGCTACTGTTGAATCGCGTATATGTATTCGAGTTATGTAAAAACAAATCGTATTTCTCGGAGTGCTCTTGTAATCTTTCTCCATTGGAATCAGTCGTATGACAGTTCCATGATTCGTTGTGCGAATTGAAATCACCAAGAAAAATGCTTCTGTATTTAATTTGAGAGTTACTTAGCAAACTATTCCACTCATCATTGTCTAGTAGAATATCAGAGGGTTTATAAGACGCTATAATGGCAACCGGCTGTTTTAAATTGGTGATTTCAATACCACATACTTCGGTATAAAAATTATCGTTGATTACATTTTTAATCTCAGTATAATTATAATTTTTACGTATTAAAAAAACTATACCTCCTCCAATAGAGTATTGTCTATCTTTACGGAGTGTGTTGAAGCCGGCGTACAGAAAGTGGTCACTGTCCTTCAACCACGATTCGACACAAACCAACACATCTATATCTTGAATTATCTTCGCAATTTCTTCTTTTTTA